TTTGTATGCATTGTCTCCTGTAATACTCTTGACAACTTTGCAAAGGAACTGTCCTCATTTTGTACACGAGATTGAGGATCAGAAAAACCGGTCAAGTAACTTGCTCAAGATCACGTTGTTAGTAAGTCAGAATTCATAACTAAATCTGCTACCTTATACCACTTTGTACTTATTGCAGATGAATAGGAAAGGTTGTGTTTGTGTGAGTGTGTGCGTGCACACATTAAAGATGCACAGACGACGGAAAGATACATTCTAATCTTTTAAAAATTTTTTTTAATGTTTCTATTTATTTTTGAGAGAGAGAGAGACAGAGCATGAGCAGGGGAGGGGCAGAGAGAGAGGGAGACACAGAATCCGAAGCGGGCTCCAGGACTCTGAGCTGTCAGCACAGAGCCCGATGCGGGGCCCGAACCCACAAACCGCAAGATCGTGACTTGAGCCAAAGTCGGACGCTCAACCGACTGAGCCCCCCAGGCACCCCTGATACAGTCTAATCTTTAACGGTGTCTACTTCTGGGGAGTAGAGCTTGATGAAGGAATTGGCTATTCTGTACTTCTGGGATTTTGTTTTAATGTGAGAGCTAACTGCAAGATAGAGACTGGGGGCAAAATGATAGAAGAGCTGGAAGGAAGAAGAGGGTGGGCTGGAATGCATGAGGAAGACCTCAAAGGATGTGAGATTCAAATCAAGGTGCAGAGGTTGGGTAGGGTTGGAACAAGTGCAGCTGGCAAGACCACGGACATGGAGCAGGGATGAGGAAAGCCTGACTAAAGAACAGTGAGAAGAGAAGCCGGAGTGGAGCGGGCAGGTTTTGCATGTGGAATATGGGAAAACAAGAGGGGCCCGACAGTTGAAGCTAGAGACCTGACTGGTCGTGAGCCGAGCTTGAGTGTTTTGGGGGCCTTAGATGGTGATACCAGGGGAGGGTTGGGGAGTGCGTACAGTAAGTAGTCGGGGGCCTTAGATGGTGACCTCAGCGGGGAGAGTCTGTGGCTGCATCTAGTAAGTAGTGGGGGCCTTAGACGGTGATGTCAGGGGGGAAGGTTTGGGGGTGTGTTATGATAAAGACATACTTGGTTGCATGCTGCTTGATCTTCAGCAGCATGTATTTCTTTGGTAAAGAGCATTCCTCCCTGAGGGCAGTGGTAGATTTGGGAGTATCAAGCTTGCTGAGACTCTAGGAGAAACCAGCTTTAAAATGCAGATGTGGTTCTTTTAAGTGTGAGAGATTATTATGCTAATTCTCTACCTGGCATGTACCGATGGTCCCCCGACAAAGGGTGGTACACATTCATACTACTTCGAATTATGAGTTTGATCTTTCTCAAGTTGCTTGTGAGAAATAACGGATACATTTATAACCATTGTGTTTTTCACTGTCAGGACAGTATTCCCTAAGGTACATGAGATTTTCAGCACTTAACAACAAAACAGGATTTGTGTTAGGTGATTTTGCCCCGCTGTAGGCTCATGTTTACGGTAAGTGAGGCTAAGCTGTGATGTGTGGTCGCTTAGGTGGACTCGGTGCATTTTCAGCCTATGATATTTTCAACTCATGGTGGGTTCATCAGGACGTAGCCCCACGGTAAGTCAAGGAAGGTGTGTACAATGGGGTGGTGAACCTAAGTGAGATTAATAGCTGTCTGTTTGTGAGCAGGAGGGCAGCACTGGGTTCAAAAAGCAGCAGAGATGTGCCGGTGTGAGGCCACCAGACAGAAATGAAATCAGGGGAGGAAAGCGAAAAGGAGCCTATACAGAGAAGAGAGGGAAATCGATCTTCGTGAAACTGAGTAAAGATGTGAAACACCACAGAGCGGAGGTGACTTTCTATGAGCAGAACTCAAAGCTTCAGCTGCATTTTCTGTGAATAGAAAATCTTTGACTTAAAGCCAAAGCAGACGGGCAGCAAATAGGAAAGAGACCTTTTTCAGGGCCTAGAAGATTGACAAAACAAGAGGGCATGAGTCGCCGTTTAATCCTTTGAACCTGTGTTCGGTTAACTGAGTGACATCAGAGCGCGTGTCCTTCATTTACCTGTTTGATACTTGCACCCCAAACTTCCACACCCTAGAATAGACCCTGCAGACCACGCTTGCAGCCACAATCATCGCTCCCTCAAAGACTAGGTAGCTTCTGTCTCTGCTTCCACTTTTCCCATAGTCTGTTATCACGGCAGCCGGTTATACTTTCATATTAAGTGTAAGTAACATTTCGTCGCCACCCCCCACCCCACTGTAAACCTCAATGGCTTTCCACATGTCTTAGACTAGAAGGCAGAGCCCTCACATGGCGTTTCATAATCTCCCGACCTGACTCTTATCACTGTATCCTTTGCTCTCTCTGCTGTCACCACATTGTTCAACTGGTTGTTGCTTGAAGAACCCAGCCGTGCTCTGGCCTCCAACGACTCGGTTCCCTTTGTGTGGAACCGTCCTTCTCCAGGGAGTCCTGTGACCGCCACTCACTTCTCGAGTCTCTGCTCAGATGTTACCTTATCCGCAAGGCCTTCCCTGATGCCCCACATGAAATGGAGACCTTTCTCCCCATCTCCTTTACCTGGAATTTTCTCTGTAGCGTTTGCTGCTGTTTGGCGTATTACCGTCTGTCCCTGTGGGCCCCTTCCGTCTTCCTTCCCACGTAGAGGAGAACGAGTGGTGTAGTGCTCAAGACTGAATTCCGAAGTTAGATTTGTGGGGTTTAAAAGGCAGCTTCCCCACCTGGGCCTGTGAAACTTGTTTCACGAAGATTTAAAGTCTTTGTGCCTCCATTTTCTCATCTATGATACTGGGTAATAACAAAAGCTTACTTGAGGTCGTTTGAGGATGAAATGAGGTAATCTATGTAAAGCGTCTAGTACAGTGCCCGGTACCTCAAAAACAATATATGTCAGCTGTTACTGATATTGTTATTAGAATGTAAATCCCATGGAAGTAGGGACTTTGTTTTTTTTGCAGCTTATCTCTAGTGCATAGAACGGTACCTGGAATATGGCAGGCTCTAAGTAAATGTTGGCTAGATGCATGGGTGGTGTGTGAGAAGTTTGGACAGAAAAAGATAACGTGGTACTCAAAGTGATGGTGAGTCAGCGCCAGGCAAAGTTGGGGAGGGAATATGAGCTCAGGGATCCTGTCTTTGGAGGAAAAAACCCTATCCACTTCTCCTGGCTGGAGTGGTGACTATAAAAGTTAGTGAAGCCAGAAATGTTAGGAATTTGTGGAAAGGATAATATTTGCAGATTACCCAGAACAATGCTTCCCTGCCCTGGTAGTCTTTCTCTTCTTGATAAGTATGCCTTATACTGGCGATGCAGATTTAACTTCTCTTGTACTCGTAAGTGATCCATGTTCAGTTGTAATTAAATACCCTCTCCTTGGTTTTTCTTTTTATTTTGTGATGGATTCCAATACCTAAGAACAGTGTTGGGTTATATTTACAATGAATTATAATAATTTTACTTAAATTTGGCAACTTTTTAAAGCTATAGGTCATGACTCATGTGGATCATGAAGTCCATGTGGGCTGTGACCAGGGTTTTTTGTTTTGGGGTTTAAAAACAACAACCGGGATTTAGAAAAAGAATAATACATATCACATAAATAAGGGTGCTTAGGGTTTTGTGAAGTTATTATTTCAGTTATGTGTGTGCGTGTCTCATACATTCATGTACACACACATGCATATATGTGTTCTGGGTCTCAGTATAAAATACCTCTTAACTGCGGGTCCTGGTCAAAAAAGTTTGAAAGCCTCTGCCCAAAAATGATCCTTTGAAATCACTAGGCTACATGATATTCTTTCAGAAAATTGCTTTCATTAATTACTATTCGGGTTTAGATTCTTTCATAAGCTTTATGTGGTCATAGACATTTGTGTCTTTATGAGCACTGGTTTTATTTTACACATTGCTGTCCACTGTCCATCCTCAAAGTCTCAAAGATAAACAATTTCCAGGAAATTAAAGGACAAGAAACAGCTCAGACCCTACCCCTGTTTTAAAATATCAGAACCAGAGGCTTGGATCAGTCGATTGAATGTCCGACTTGGTAGGCTCAGGTCACAATCCCAGGGTTGTGGGATCGAGCCCTGCATTGGGCTGCGTACTGAGTGTGGAGCCTGCTTAAGATTCTCCCTGGTCCTCTGCCCCTCCACCGTGTGCACACGTGCGCTCTCTCTTTCTCTCTCTCAAATTAAAAAAAAAATTCTAAAATATCAGAACCAATATTTCTTTCATTTTAATATCTCTTGACTACTTTCTGATTCTTTTGCCATGGTGTTTTGATTGCTAGGATTCATTTATTCCTTCAATAAGATTTATAAGAAAAATAACAATAGTAGTAATTTACAATACTTTAGGATTTACCAAGCTGCCAGCTTCTCGTGCTCTTTATCCATGATCTTATTTTATCTTCATATCCCCTAGAAAGATGGGCCCGTGCAGATTGTACCTGGAAGATCGGGTCTCAGCGCAAACACAGAACTCTTTCCTCCACACCTCACCCGACTGGACAGACTTGGCCTCTCCTCCCCAGTACATTTCTTTTGCTCCTCATTCTGTCCTTTTATCTTTACTTCTCCCTTCTCCATTTTGTTTCCCTTTTCTCCTTGACTCTTAGCGTCCTCTGTGACCACTTGGCACCATGATGCTCGTTTACCTCCATTCAGCATGACACTTACGCCACGTCTAGGATCTTGCCATTCAAATGGAAACTCAGTTTATTCTAACTGAGTTACTTGAGCTGATTCACTGCGGATGATCAAAATGGCCCCTTCTTCAATAAAACCGTGGGGGGGGGGGCGGTTCTGGGGAACGTGTTCTGTTTCTGTTTTCCTTCCCCTGCATCACCTGCCTCAGGATTTGCAAAGTCCTTACTGTTAGTCATGCGTTCTCTGCTCTTCACTAGACAGTGACTGCTTTTGCTATAAATACCCCAGTGCCCGCGAGCAGAAAAGATTTTCTACATTTTAATGTTTTTTTTCTCTGCAAATTATGTTTTAGATTTTAGGATTTTCAGAAGAAAAGATCAAAGGGAGTCATCAAGGATAGATTCTTTTTCTGAATAGTGAAGCCTAAAATGGCCACAGCCTCAGTCCTTCAGACTCCAGAGATGCAGGAAGGACGGCTGGCAGTAAAGGTAGAAGAGGAAGAGGGGGATTGTGCCTCTGGGCAGGAATCTGGCCCGTGGAGAGATCACCCGCATAGCAGAGAGATCTTCCGTAAACGCTTCAGGCAGTTCTGCTACCAGGAGACCCCTGGACCCCGCGAAGCTCTTCGAAGGCTCCGCGAGCTGTGCCGCCAGTGGCTGAGCCCAGAAACGCACAGCAAGGAGCAGATCCTGGAGCTGCTGGTGCTGGAGCAGTTCCTGACCATCCTGCCCGAGGAGCTCCAGGCCTGGGTGCAGGGACAGCACCCGGAGAGCGGGGAGCAGGCGGTGACCGTGCTGGAGGATCTGGAGCGGGAGCTGGACGAGCCGGGAGAACAGGTGGGAGAGGGCAGGACAGGTCGGTAGCTGTAAGAACGAGTGTGGGGTTTCTGTGCAGCAAGAGGAAGAGGACAGGGATTTCTTTGTGCCTGATGTGGTCTATTGTGGGTGCCCCATCCTTCTGCCTGTTTCTTCCTGCCAGTTTCTTGGTCCTTCTTTTCCCGTGCAGTGGGCCTGAGGAGGCCTCCTTACGATGTCTTCTCTGACATTTGATTTCTAACCGTCCTTAATTTCCAGCAGGTTCCAGCCTGTGCCCGTGAGCAGGAAGAGTTGGTGAAGGAGGAGGCAGGTCGGGGAGCAGCCCAGGACTCATCAAGCGGCCAGCCCCCAACCTTGGAAGGGCCGCGTCAGTGCAGGTCGCGGGAGGTGTGCCTGCTTCGGGAGATCGGTGAGGACTGGAACTTCCTCAGAGGCCTCCCTCACTCCCTCACCGTCCATCTGCTCAGCGTCTGCTGTGTGCCAGGCGTTGTGCTTGGTCCTGAGGACACTGTGACCTGCATGGAGGGGTAGTGGGGGGAAGGTTGCAGCCTGGTGGGGGGAAGACAGTCCCCTGACAGTTACAGTTCAGTGTGTCTTCTCCCTGAGGTCCGGGCATCCTTGTCTAGGTGGGGGAAGTACACAGAACCGTGCTTATGTGTCCCTTGCCCCCCACCCTCCTGGTTGCTTTTTTTCTTTTCCGTTTTGAAACATGACATTCGTGTGATCCATTTTCTCGTTTCAGGGGGTGAGGCTGGGGCTTGGAGTGTGCAGTCAGCCCCGAAGAGGGAGCTCTGTAAAGAGAAGAAACGTCTTGTGGAAGTTCCTGAGAAACTGAACGGTGACGCTCTTCTGGGGCCTGAGTGTGCAGACACGTGTGACCAGGAGGGCAGGTGGGAGAGGCAGCGGGCCAGCTCCTCGGCGGAGAGACCCTTCGTCTGCGGTGAGTGTGGGAAGAGCTTCACCCAGAACTCCATCCTGATCGAGCACCAGAGGACACACACCGGGGAGAAGCCCTACGGGTGCGATGCGTGCGGACGGGCCTTCAGCCAGCGCTCGGGTCTGTTCCAGCACCAGAGACTCCACACCGGGGAGAAGCGCTACCAGTGTGGCATCTGTGGCAAAGCGTTCAGCCAGAACGCGGGGCTCTTCCATCACCTCCGGATCCACACGGGGGAGAAGCCCTTCCAGTGCAGCCAGTGCAGGAAGAGCTTCAGCCGACGTTCTGTCCTCATTAAGCATCAGCGAATTCACACTGGAGAAAGGCCTTATGAATGTGAAGACTGTGGCAAGAACTTTATTTATCACTGCAACCTCGTCCAGCATCGGAAGGTCCACCCTGGGGCGGGTGCCGCTAGCCCCCTGGAGCAGGTAGGGCAGAGGCTCCCGGTGTCGGACCCTAGTGGAGGTGGTGGGGCAGGCTCTCACTTTGTCCCTGAAGCACAGTCCTAGGAAAAGAATTGTTCGGTCCTCTGGAGTGCAGACTGTGGAAGGTGTCTGTGTTTTTATGCTGAGGGAAGCATAATATGTTAAGTCCATCTGTCAGCTTCTCTGGGGTCTGTGACATCCGTGTTTGCAGTAGTGAACACTGTTGTGGTGACTTCATCAACTGGTCCCACACCTGTCTGTGCAGAAAGTTCTCCAGGTGTGCTCTAGGAAAACTCCTTCGTCCGAGTTCTAAGAAACTTTTTTTTTTTTTTTTTTTTTCAACGTTTTTTATTTATTTTTGGGACAGAGAGAGACAGAGCATGAACGGGGGAGGGGCAGAGAGAGAGGGAGACACAGAATCGGAAACAGGCTCCAGGCTCCGAGCCATCAGCCCAGAGCCTGACGCGGGGCTCGAACTCCTGGACCGCGAGATCGTGACCTGGCTGAAGTCGGACGCTCAACCGACTGCACCACCCAGGCGCCCCTCTAAGAAACTTTTTTTTAAAAGTTTTAAAAAATTACATGCTACCTGAATACACAATTATGTTAAAAGTAGTTCAAGTATTTAAAAATTAATTTAAAAATAATGGCAGTAAAACTTGCAACTTAAATGATTTGATTGTTTTCTCATAAGATATGATAATTTGCTTTTTAACCTACAAAAGGGGACAGATAAATCCTCCCATAGATACACAGAAGGCTTCTCCCTGTTAAGAACTCTGTAGAGTTCCACTGACTCCGCCTTCAGTGAGGAACCAAGGACCCAAGTGAGGACACATCAATGTGTTACTGTTGCTCGAGATTTGAGTTGTGTAGACCAAGAAACTTATCTAAAAATCGGTATCTCACTTCTGATCTTCATTATGAAAATATAGGCCTCTTTGCATTAATTTTTCCTGTGATTTATAAGCATTTTTGGATTTTGCTTTATTTATTTAACCCTTAGTTATACAAAATTTCAAAAATATACAGAAGTTGAAAAGTGTGATCAGCCTTCCACGTTGATTGTTTTTTATAAGCTCCATGCTTCTCAGCATTACCTATTAATTACCACCAAGATCATGCTTAAAAAAACTTCTTTCCCTTAACACTGATTGAACGTTTACCAAGCTTTATACTAAGCCTAGGACACAAAGAAATGGGAATCTATGGTGATGACAATCCAGATTAGAGTACCAAATACACTGCAGGTCACTTAACCATGATAGAAACATAAGGGACCCTACAGATCACTTTTGTGTCCCTTATATGATACAGAAACGGAGGCTGGAAGTGACTGCGGACCTTTCAGCTGGTTCACCGAGTTGGAGCTGGAACCCTGTCTCCTGATTCCTAGTGTTCTTTCTAAGCATCTGGAAGCATTTTATCACCACATAGAAATGACCAGTATAAGGAACTTCCAGGATTTAGAAGGCACTGAGGTTAGAAGGAACTTCCAGGATTTAGAAGGCACTGAGGCACAGCTCAATAAAGCCTCCCATCTGTGCATGTTTCTCTGTTCGGTTTACAGCCGAGTTCTAGGAAGGACTCCTTCCACTGATCCCTCATTTGGGGCATTTTATTTATTTATTTTTAATGTTTATTTATTTTTGAGACAGACACAAAACGCAAGCAGGGGAGGGGCAGAGAGAGAGGGAGACACAGAATCCAAAGCAGGCTCCAGGCTCTGAGCTGTCAGCACAGAGCCCGACGCGGGGCATGAACCCACAAACCGCGAGATCATGACCTGAGCCGAAGTCAGATGCTTACCAACTGAGCCACTCATGTGCCCCTTATTTATTTTTGTAGTGAATGATTTTTTTTTTTAACTTTTAATTTACTTAGAGGGACTTTTCAAGAAGATAATTCATTCTGTTATGCCCAGAATTCGTGATCCCCAAAGACCACCAGGGAGCCGAGTCCGATGCAAAAGCAAAAGAGCCTTTATTCGAGCTAGCTAAAGCTCAGTCCCCTACCTGCACCGATGCAGCGGTGAGATACCAGGGAGAGAGCAAGTTTCAAAAGCACAAAGGTTTTATAGGGGTCTAGGGGCAGCCGATTGGCTGGGGAAGGGGCGTGGCCTTGGCCGATTGGCTGGGGAAGGGTCAGAGTCCTGTTACGCAGGTCGCTGGGCGTGTTTTGATCAGGAAGTTTGAATGGGTGAGCGGGAGGTTACTCAAGGGGAGGAGGTGAAGGACACAGAACAAGATGGAGTCGGCCGGCGTAGGTCCGCCCTTTCAATTCTTCATCTGATTCAAGTATGAAAGCCACATTAAAAAGGGAGCCTATCTTTTCCCTCATAGGTAGCCATTTTTCTAGTATGTTAAATATCTTCAGTGTTTCTTCATGGAAATACAAGAAAACGTGAACATACATAACCTTATGTTTCCTTTGTTCCACGGAAAGATGGTGTATATTTACACTCTTCAACCCCTTGCTGTGTTCCTTTGTTCCTTTGTTCCACGGAAAGATGGTGTATATTTACACTCTTCAACCCCTTGCTGTGTTCATGAAACAATACAATCTTTAGAGAAACAGCCAGCTTCCTCTCTGTTTACACGTGGACAGTATCTCATTTGCTGGTGCTCCATACTTTTAACACACTGGTGTAAATGCACAACCACTACTTTGAAATGTTACAAATTATTTCATTCTCCTCCCAAATGTACTTCAAGTCAAACTTTAAAAGCTAACAACTTCCACGTGAGCTGGAAAACAGGGTTTCGGCAACTAGAGGTGGACATAATTCTACAGAGAAATGCAGAGTGATGGGGATGGTTTCAGTGTCGTGTCTTTGGCTCTGTTAGGTATTCTCAGCATTTCAAACCATTAGTGTCGCCGCTTATGGGTAATTGTAGGTCTTCTCAAAAATCTTATTTTCTCAAGATTGTATTTCACTGTATCTTGAGGTTTAACTATTTCCAAAGGAAATACATATAGATTTTAAAGTGAAGAAAAATATAGTAGACTTAAGTTTGAAATAAAATCAACTTCTCAAGTAAACATATATTCCATTCAGTAATATGAGACATACAGTCTAATAATCTGAGTTTGTAAGCATCACAGATACCTCTGAATATGCCAAAACAGCATGTTTGGATAATTCCATTATATCAGCTCTTAAAAGATTTAAAATATGAACAGATCAGGATTTTAAAGGATATAGTTCTAATGGATTGTTTTTACAGCTGCAATTGAAGATTGAATGTTTGGTTTGTTTTGTGCTTGTTTTTGTTCTTTTGTTTTCACAGCTTTTCAAAAATTCTAAATTTTCTCAATAACTGATAAAAATGCCAAGAAAGAAAAGATGTTATCTGTGCTGTAGAGGCATATACCACTCGAGTGCAGTGATGGTTAACATGATTAAAACTACTGACAGTTCACCAAACTAACTTGCCTTGTTTTCTGATACGGATTGTTCTTGTAATTATTTTATCTGGGATGCACATTTGTCATTAGTTGACTTAACCGCTAGACAGGGGCATGTAGGCCCTGGTCTTTCCTATGATTACTCCAGCCTTCCTGGCAGGGTGCTCTTAGGTGTTGTCTCCCTTTACATTTCTGAATTACCCTCACTTCTCTTTTCTTTTTCTACCCTGGCTCTTTTCACTCAACCCATCGAGTCTCTGGCATTGATCTCCTTTCAGCTGCTCTGTAAACCAGTAACCATCTCTCCTTATGCCTTTGAAAAGCCCCAGTCTGAAAGACTAGTTTTTATGGCTGAGCAAGGTGTAAGAAGTACTGATTCAAATCCAATTAAAAAGACTTATTGGTTCGAGGGATGCCTGGCTGTCTCACTCAGAAGAGTGTGTGACTCTTGATCACAGGGTCATGATTTTGAGCCCCACGTTGGGTGTAGAGATTACTAAAAATATAAAAAAGCCTTACTGGTTCTTGAGGGATAGTACAGCACCCCTCTGAGCATTGTTAGGACAGTGGACACTGTATGTCAAGAAATGACTGAGAATTTTGCAACTGAAAGCTATTTAGAGCTGTAGGTAAAAGCCCTGAAGACTCTCTTTCACTATAATTTTTATTTGAGGAACCAAATCTTCAAGGAGAACCAAGTCTCTGTCCAGATTTTGTATTTGAAAATGACTTCTATTTTCTCTGACAATATTTTTCCTTTAAAAAACAATTTATAGTGGAAGATTGTTTTACATTTTTCCAATAAGACAAAAAATACCTCTGAAAAAATTTTAAAACAATGGCATATCTAAAGTCAAAATTATAAAATATGAAGTATCTTCTCAGGAGCAGTTTTGAAATCTATGTACCAGTATACATGTGTGTCACTGGTTAAATGTTGAGTTAGAAGTTGAGAGAGAACGTAAAAGTTGAGAGAAAAGTAGATTATTTGTAGAAGGAGCTGGAAGATAGCGGAAGGTATCTGCAATAGAGGAAACAGGGTGAAGAAGGCCCAGCTAAGACAGGCTCAAGAGCCATGAGTGTGCAGGGGTGGGGGCCAGATGCAGAGGTCACGGAACACTTTGTTAAAGCATAATGGAATCATTGAAAGTATTTTGTTGTACTATAGGAGTTTCTTAACAAAAAATCAGAAAATATTAGCTTTAAGAAGAAATTTTGAGTTGAGCAATTTCATACCTGCATGAGAACAGTGAAGTCCAAAGTGGTTAAACACTCGTTGTGATCTATTTTTTAATCACATTAAAAATTTTAAAGTTAAAAATCTTAAAATTTTTTAAAACAAAACTGTGAACAACGATCATTGTGAATTATATAAGGTTTCACAGGCACTTGGACTTGGAGGCTCAGAACCTTTTAGGCCTCTGCAAACAGCAACAGCAGCAACAAAACAGGATGGAAAAAGGAAAAGGAAGAACGAAATGTGAGAACATAAAAAGGAACCAGGCAAACTTACACGCTAAAACTGGATTAGGCCAACAAGTGGTGACCAGAGAGAAGGAAAAAATAAAAAGAGACGTTGTTACCAAGAAACGTGCTTTGTCCATAAATAATACTTATTAGCCCTCTGGCTCTCAATTGGTCCATGTGTCTTAGCTGTGAAAAGAGTCCCACTGCTCTTCACTCCCCACTCTTCTCCGTGCTCTACGTAACAAAGAGGAGGCAAGCACAGTGTGTAAATCACTGGTTTCTCTTTTTTAGGTCTCTCTGGACTCACACCCAGTTTTCCATGCCAACGTCTCAGCTCTCTGATGAAGCCGCTGCTTCTGAATATATACCTGTGTTAGAATCACCTGGGTTGTTTGAACTGCAGTTTCCTGGGCACTACCACAGACTGGCTGAATGTTTGTGAGGGCAGGACCTGGGAATCTGCATTTCAGCTAGCGTATCGGTGGTTGTCAGACTTGAGGTAGCTATATATAATGTATTGCCCAATCTAGGACACTTCTGAGAATGAAAGGGATTGCTGTTAATAATTACAGCCAGCCAAGAGGCATAAATCAGGATGTATGGTCTTCCTACTTAAGACTTCCTGCTGAGGAGATAGAAGAAGAAGAGACAGAAAGAATACAATGTTCTCATGAAAGCTAAGGTAGAGCATCTATGAAGGAGGCTGTGGGATGTTTAGGTGTAGCCACCTAGACCAAAGTAGCCACCATCTGCCTGGTTTGAAATAATCCCCATTAACACATTTATTGGATTAGGTAAGAAGGGGTGGGTATGCCTATAAAAACAACACCCACCCGGAAAAGGCCCCCCCCCCCCCCAAAACCCACAAACAACAACAAAACGCTTAAAATAGCTAGTTACCTAAGATGAGCCTGTTGAGACTATGGCTTACCAGACAAGAGAGATGACGTTCCAGAAGCATAGGAGCATTTCAGTGGTACACGATCGATGGACCAGTATGGGCTGTTCACCTCTAACATACAGAGGAAGCGTGGGAATATAGCGCGCCAGATCACAACCTCGCAGGAATAAGGCAGAGGGCAAGCCGTTTGAAGCAAGTAGCTAGGATGAATGAGGTCCAGAGATTGTGCCAAGTTTCCTAAGTTATCATAATTGATGCACATTCTTCACGGGCTGTGCAACCAGAGCGCTCTTAACACCGCAGGGTACCAAACACAGGCTGACCAGGCCCCACATTCCGCAGTTGCCCCGGGGCCATTCACAGCGGGGACCGGGCATGTGGCTTCCCCTCACTTTCTGCTAATTCTGCAGAGTCAGGGATCTGTAAGTGGTTAGGTTGCTCAAAAGGACCGGAGTCACATGCACAAAGATTGAGACGGTGGACAGCAAGCCAGCACCTGTCCCTCTTAATGCCGCTTTGCTCAGGTGGGTGTCGATTATTGCTTCGGACCCTGGGGGCCGAGTGGGCAATGGGTATCACGGGACCAGGGTACTAGGGAACGGAGGACTGCGTTGCATTCCCTCAGTGTAACAGAGAGACGGGCCCAGGCTGAGTGGCTGCTGGACACCCGGTGGACCCGCCTGCGCTGTGCAGAGGCCACCGTGGGCCCCTGCGGTGGGAGCCGGCCAACCACTGAGATGCGGGACCTCTGTGCTTCCTAGAGGGGCGGTGAGGAGCGGGTGGAGGCGTGCCCGGGCGTCGTGACGTACTTCCGGTCTCGTGTGAGCCACAGCTAGCGCGAGCCTTTTCCGGCGGGAGGCGCCCGCGAGGCTTGGTGGCCGCTCCCCGAGACGCAGTCTCGTCTGTGTCGCCGCCCGCGGACGTGGACGCGAGCGCTGCGCGGACCACCCGCTTCGGGGCTCCGGGCGCTGGTGCGTCTTTACGGCCGGCGGCGGTTTTCTGTCCCCCTCCGGAGTCCTGTTTTCATCGAGGCCTTCGTGGCGGTGGTCATGACCTTGCACGCCTGTGACGGGAGGGTTCGTCTCGGAGGACGTATGGTGACGGGGTCTCAGGACTTAGAAAACGGAGGAAAGTGTGATTTCCTCGGCTCAGAGAACGTTGAGAAGTGAGCGCGTCCTTCGAGCGGACATGGGCTGCCGGTCGCGTAGTGCGGGTCTCCAGGTGCTTTTAAGACCCCTCCAGCTCACAGTGCCGTGGGGAAGAGGGGAACGCCCCTGCGATACCGCGCGGATGCCCGGAGCCGGGGGTGGGGGCACTTCCCGGTGAGGCGGAGAGCTGAACGGAAACGGGCGCCGGAGGCAGCCGAGGGAAGGTGGGTGTGCTGTGGCCGGGGCAGAGAGGATGAGCAGGTGACAGCTGCGATACCCCAGGGAACTTGGACTTGAAAAGGCAGTGTGCCTCTCCGTCCTTCCCGTGTGACGGCTCCCGCACAGAATGCACGCGATGTGTGTGCGCACATCTGCCTGGCAGAAGGGAGCAGTCCCCGGCTACGCTGCCCCGGGTCCGCGCGCGGCCACCTCGTAGCCCGGGTGGTCAATGTGCTGGCGCTGCTCCGGGAGGCGGACTCCGCAGAGACGGGAGTCCCTGTCTTCACGCACGGGAGTAGCGTCATCTTACTAGGCTTCTAGAAATTTCAGGAGCGGGGTGGCAAATGGATTGGAAGGGGGTAGGACTGGAAGCAAGAGAGAGGAGAGATGCGCAGGCGTCACGAAAAGAGCTGGTACTGTAAGTTGGTGAAAGCCAGGTGCTGGCCGTGGAAGTGACGAGGGTGGAGTGGATTGTGTGGAAGACGCGGATTTAACTCCACTTGGTGTCTAAGGGAGAAAGATTGTTGAAAAGGTGCTGAGGACAATGCCCGACACGTGGTACGTATTACGAGCTTTATTTTCAATATAGTTAGGGATAATTAGGTTTTTGGATTAGATAGATGGTAAGGGGAATGAATGTGTCATTTTTAAAGAAATGGGTAGGCCCGCCTGAATGGCTCAGTCGTTAAGTGTCCAGCTCTTGGTTTCGGCTCAAGATCTTGTGGTTTGTGGGAGCCCTAGTTGGGCTCTGTGCTGACAGCCAGAGCAAAGTAAAGTTAAAAAAAAAAAAAAAAAGAAATGAGTAATTTTGGAAGAGCCATTGATTATGAGGGGAAAATGATGAGTTAATTTTTGGTGGTGTTGAGGTGCTTTTAAGACCTAGGACTGGAAGAGTCTTATACCATTGGACTATAATGGTCTTGATTTCCAAAGTAAGACTGGGAAAAGAGAATAGATTTAGGAGTTGTTAGGTGAAAGCGTCTCAGTTCTCAGATGCTACTGAATGGACGAGATTGCCCAGAATGAATGTGGAATGAGAAGGCCGGATCCCGGCTTAGGGTAACCGGACATTTCTTGGCGAGCTGAAGAAGAGCCATAAAGTGGACTTAAGAATGAGCTCTTGACAAGCCCTTATAGAAGCTTGAGCACCAGGTGTTGGTCTAAGCACTTTACAAAAGCCAGCTCATGGGAAAACAGCCAGAAGATTGCAGTTCCTTAGAAGATTGGGAGTGGTTAGAGTGTTAGGAGCTGCAGAGGCATCTGGTAAGTAAAGGACCGAAAAATACTCACTGGGTTTGTATACAAGGGGGACTTTGGTTAATTGACTTGGGACCCCTAACTCAAATGTGGGACACCCCAACTGACATGCACACTGTTCTTTTCTAAAACTAAAAATGCCTTTGAAAGAATCTAGCATAATTCTTGGCACAGAGAGGTTGATTTATAAATATGATTGACTAAATCTGTGATACGCAATTCAAGTAAGCAAAGCTGTTTGCATTGTTTTTGTTATCGGGATATTTCACGTTATCTGAATATTTCACTTCAGTTTCTAGATCTAAAAGCTACTAGTATTGTTCTTTAGTCCTAAAGTAACCGAATTGTCTATAAGTCAATTTTAGGACATTTTTCTAATGACATTTTGTGCTTGTCTTATCTTTTACAGGGCGTCTTTACCTTCAAATCATTGACTTGACCACAGCAATTCACTCTGAGTAAATATGTTCTTAGTTTGGAGTTGATCTCTGTTAACAGTGATGTGTTATGCCTTATCACCAGCTTTATTAAGCCCCTGCTACTGTTGTGGTGAACTGCTTTGCCCAGGAATGATTCAGTCCAACCCTTTTGGGCTGCAGAAGAACAGAAGGGATGTCAAATAGTTAAAGCATCTAGCCTGCACAGAAATGGTGCTTCTGACAGTTCTTCGGACAAAACTCATGGCAGTTCTGTTAGGAGGATTCCCTTGGGCCTCAGGAGTCCAGCTCCAGGCAGGCTCTCCGCCGCCAGTAGCTGCGGCCCGAGACGCACAGCAAGGAGCAGATCCTGGAGCTGCTGGTGCTGGAGCAGCTCATGACCGTCCTGCCCGCGGAGCTCCCGGCCTGGGTGTGGGGGCAGCATCCAGTGTATAGGGAGGAGGCTGTTACTGGACTGGGGGCTTGTTGAGGAAGCTGGACCATCCAGGAGGAAGGTGAGATAAGGAAGAAACAATCTATTGCCAGAGGCAGGTATTCTCTCCAGAGAGAGAGCAGAGACTTGAAGTTTCCTCTCAAGTGTAGTGAGAGGAAATGGCTAAGATGCATTGGCCAGAGTTGTGTTCCCCTCCCTGTCCATTTATTCCCTGTCCTTGTAGGTCAAAGGAAACTCTGCTTTCTGTCCTCCTCTTCTGTTCCCCGATTAATACTGGGATCTATGCTCTAGAACCCTAGCAGATATCCCCGTGGTCAAATTTCTCTAATTGTCCCTGGGTCCTTTGTCCTCCTATGGGGACAGGAAGGGCAAACGAGGGCCCTAAGGGCAAATGGCTTGCCTGGCAGCAGCATTAAGACTCACGGGGCGGGGAGGGCAGGGCAGCTCCAGCCAGAAACAGGGCAGCTCAGTTCTGAATCTACTGAGGAGAAAGAGGAGATCCTACTGGGGAAAAGATCAGAAATGTCTTTTGCATTTTTCCAAATGAACCTCATCACTAAACCTTTTGCCTACCTTTCACTTGATGTCTTGTTTCATTTTTACCTTGTCCCTCTAAGCACATTGTTTTAACCTTGATTGTCATTCTCCCTTCACTACTTTGCACCGACGTTGTTGGAAATCCTGCTTCTATTGAATGGTTGTTTCTCCATTCTAACTGAATACTGCCAGCTTCCCTGGGCCTGACCTTTTATGCCAAAGGCAGGACAGCATTTTTCTACATTGAAGCCAATAGAAAATGACTCAAAGGCTACATACAATAGAAAAGTTATTAAATGTGCATTTTCAAAGACTTCGTGTAGAAAACAAAACTTGTTTAGTATTTTTATGTGCTCATTGGACAAGCACACATATGTGCCCAAATTGTAATCATACTGAACATACCAACTGACACTACTTTTAAATTTAGTATTACATTATGGACATATTTCCCAAGAGTTACATGTAATGTATACATATGGCTGACATAAGTTCCATTGTACAGATATCAAATTATTTTTCGTTTTTACTTTAATCAGGTCTTTATTAAAAATTAGCTGTCCAGAATGAGTTGACGTTTATGGAACAAATAAACTGAAGCTTATGCAGCAGGCTTCTTGTCTTACATGGTGGGTTTCTCTTCTGCACACTTCTCAGCTGCTGGTCTCCTATATTTATGACATGAGTCTAGGCATTTGACAGCTTTCTTGCTTCTGGTATAAAAAGAAGTATAAACTCCTCTAATTCCTTTCCTCCTCCTGAAATCAATCATTTTCCCAAGGACCCCAGATTCTGTTTAGTAAGAAATGGTATTTTAAAACCAAAGATAAGGTGCTAGGAATGCTCATATTGTTATTGGACATCGTTCCTAGGCCTTTCAGTGCTCAGAGCTAGGAAGAATTTAAGATAAAGTATGTATTGTGAATTCATACTGACAGTTCGAGTTCAAATTCAGGGCCTTAATGTTTCATCTGCATCTCCTTTTGGAGATTTCTCAAAGACACCGGGAATGATAGAGTATCAAATACTCATCTGTTTTATCCCACAGTATCTCAGTGGCCTCAAAAAAAATGTCAGCATTACCATCAAATATGGTTTTTATAAACAGCTTAATGGTGGTGCCTGATTTTTCCATTCTTTTGTCCTTAAGTTCTATATCATTGGGTATATACAAAAAAATTATTCTGCAAAGGACATTGGAAATAATTTCTCTTTTGTGTGGTTATGTCACCAGCAGGTACACATTTAAATTCAGTTTGTTTCATTTCTGTTTCAATGTTGAGGGATTGCTTTTTTTATTTTATTTTTTATTTAAAAATTTTTTTTTTCATTTTTTAAATTATGTGAAATACAAAATTTTATACATGAAATCTATAAAATGTTTTCAAGAAAATTCTCCTTTTCCTCCTCCTGTTCCCTCTCTCATATAGGTAACCTTTTTTGCTCTTTAATGGTTTATCCTTTTATTATTTATTTATTATAGGCACATGTGTACATGCACGCCCTTCCCTTTTAAAAATAACACACTATAGGGGCGCCTAGTGGCTCAGTCAGTTAAGCATCTGACTTTGGCTCAGGTCATGATCTCTTGGCTCATGGGCTCAAGCTCTGCATCGGGGTCTGTGCTGACAGCTCAGCCTGGACCCTGCTTCGGATTCTGTGTCTCCCTCTCTCTCTGCCTCTCCTCCGCTTGCTCTTTCTCTCAAAAATAAATAAACATTAAAAATTTTTTTAAATAATAAAAAAAATTAAAGTAACACACTATAGTTTATGTCATAAACTCAATACACATCTGTCTTACATGAAACATTTTTTTTCTTCCCTCTAGCATGTAGTTTGAATGAGACTTGTTCAGTGAGCAAGTAACTGAGTAAGGTATGTGTGAATGAGGGAATTAGGCTGAAATTTTCAATCTCTTCTTTCAGGTGATTTGGTCAAAATGGAAAATGAGAAGGTGTTTCCAAAGTAGAAGAAATCTGAAGAAATAACATGCCAACAGGGACACACTGCTAGATTCGATGGCAATATTCATAAGTGCCTGAATTATGTAGAAGTCCCAAAATACCAGAGGACCCTAGAAATAGATCTATGATTGCATAAGTGATGAATGTGGAATGAGTTTCAGAGCTCCATCCTTATCCAGCATCTGAGATACACAGGAGAAATGCCATGAAGATGAGAAATGTGGAAAAGCTTTTAGTCCAAGAGTGCTGGCTTCATTGAAGATAAGAGAATTCCCACTGAATTAGACCCACAAATATGGAGAATATGGAAAAGCTCTCAGTGCAGACACTGGACTAGTTCATCGTAGAGAACCCATGCTGGAGAGAGACCCTATAATAAAAGTGACAAGTATGGTAAAGCCTTGGACGGTCAGCCCTTAACCAGGACCAGAGACTTCACACCAAGGAGAGGTGTTACCATCTTAACAAGTGTGGGAAAGGTTACAGTCAGAACACAGAGATTTTTCACTATCAGAGTCTGTGTTGGAGAGAAACTCTTCATTTAATCGATGTAAGAATTTTCCTGGATATTTCATTCCTTATTAAATACCAGAAAACTTGAGAGTGTGAGAAGTTGATAAATGTGAATGGAAAAGCCTGTGAACAGTAGCATCTCATCTAACATTAAAAATTTTAGGGGAGCCTGGGTGGCTCAGTCAGTTAAGTGTCTATTTCAGCTCAGGTCATGATCTTGGGGTTGTGATATCAAGGCCCATGTCAGGCTCTACACTCGGCATGGAGCCTGCTTAAGATTCTCTTGCCCATCTGCCCTGCTTGCGCTCGCTCGCTCTCTGTAAACAAAACAAAACAAAAAGTGTCCAGCATGTGAAATCAGCAAGGCAGAATTTCTTCATACCAGACCTCTGGGTGGTCTTTGATGGGAACTGGCCTTTCAGAATGTCCCTCAAAACCTTGTCAGATTCAACAGAACAAGCCATTTACTTTTCCTTAACCGTCTCCTCAAGCAAGGTGCCTGGGTGGTTCAGTCAGTTGAAGTCCAGCTTCAGCTCAGGTCATGATCTCGCAGCTCGTGAATTTGAGCCCTGTGTCCAGCTCTGTGCTGACAACTCAGAGCCTGGATCCTGCTTCAGATTCTGTGTCTCTCTGTCTGCCCCTCCCCAACTTGCACTCTTTCTCAAAAATAAACATTGAAAAAAAAATTTTTTAAGTCTCCTCAAGCAGCTACATTATTTTAGTGATTCAAAGGGCTGCTTATGGACCACCAGTTCAGATTTCCAGATGTTTTAATTAGTTCTTAAATACAGTTCTCACAAAAGCTTGGACTGTTAAATTATTTTAGTGAAAATTTAAGTTATGTATAAAATACAAATAGGAATGTTATTAGATGATTATTTTAAATGCTGCAGTTATGATTTGCCAAGTCAAAAAAACTTGTTCAGCATCTTTTTAGTAATGACATGGTGAGTTCTTGCGCCTTCCGTTCCTATCTAGGGTATGATGTGTGACATGTAGCCCCCAGTTAAGACTCCAGACAAGAAAGATGCATCTTTATTTATTTTTTAAAGTTTATTTTTTTTTATTTTGAGAGAAAGAGTGTGCACACATGAGCAGGGAAGTGGCAAGAGAGGATCCCAAGCAGGCTCCACAGTCAGCAGGCAGCCCAGATTGAACTCACGAACCGTGAGATCATGACCTGAGCTGAAACCAAGAGTTTGGACACTCAACCGACTGAGCCACCCAGGAGCCCCAGGTGCATCTTTTTTTCAAAAAGAGGTGTATTGATTTGTATTAGGAAAACAGAAAAGACCCAAGTTAGTGTTCAAGGGAGAATAAGCAAACTCAAATGCCCAGGAAAGGCAGGTAATAAAAATAAAGGAAGCAATCCTAGAGTCACAAAGAAAAACAAAAACCATTATTTTACATTGCATTAAGTTCAGGGAAATTGTTAGGATTCTCTTTATTTTGAATTCTACAGGAAAAAGATGATCAGGTTAATTGTTCATTGCGACCACCATAAACGATGATCTTTTCCTACTCTTGAGTATAGTACAGTTGACCCTTGGACAACATGCGGTTAGGGGTACTGATCCCCTACACAAAAATCTCAGTATAACTTCACCCCCAAACACTTAATCATCAAGAGCCTACTATTGACCAGAAGACTTGCTGATAACCTGAAGAGTTGAACACATATTTTGTATGTTATATGCATCACATACTGTATACAAAGAAAATGTTTTTTGTTTTTTTTTTTCAGTTTTTAAAATTTTTTTAAAAGTAATCCCTACCCCCAGTGTAGAGCTCAAACTCAGGACCCCAAGATCAAGAGTCACACTACATGTGAAAATTTGTGGAAAAAAAGCTGAGGTTCTGAATGATGTTACCTTCCTCTAGATTTACTTTTGCTTCTATAGGCACTGAAGAATATAGTTGGGAGCGCCCGGGTGGCTCAGTGGGTTAAGCATCCGACTCTTGATTTTGGCTCAGGTCATGATCTCACAGTTTGTGAGTTCAAGCCCCACATCAGACTCTGGGCTGACCGTGTGGAGCCTGCTTGGGGTTCTCTGTCTCCCTCCCTCCCTGCTTCACCTCTGCTCATGCTTTCTCAAAGTAAATAAACAAACAGGCAAACAAAAAAATGAAACAGTGGCTTAGAATAACCATCCCATGAGATTTTGGGCCAGGAATTTGGTGAGGTCTCAGCTGGAAGTTTCTTCCATTTCGTGTGGCATCTTACAGTGGCACTTGGTGGTGTTTATCTGGCAGCTGGGTTTGCTGGAAAATCCAAGCTGCACTGCCATGCCCAGTGCCTTGGGGCAAGAACAGTTAGAAGGACGGTCTTGGGGCCTCCTTATGTGATCTTTGCAGTAGGGCCGTCGGACTCTCTGTGGTGGCTCAGGACTCCAGGAGCAATTGTTCCAAAAAACAGTGAAAGCTGCTGCTGTCCTTAAGGGCTCAGGCTGGGAAACTAAAACAGCATCAGTTTTGCTGTATTTTATTTGAGCTGTCCTCAAGCCCACTCAAGACTCCAGAGGAAATGACATAGACTCTACAGCTAAACAGGAAAAGCATGGAAAAATTTGTAGTCATCTTTAATTTTCCAAAATACCCTTATCCACCCAGATATAAAGCCTGGGGAAAAAATAATAAAGTTCTTTTTGGATTCTCTATATAATTGTTTAATTTTTTTTCCCCTTTCTTGCCTCCTTTTTAACTTCCCTAAAGACACCCAGCATGACTCTGAGCTAATCAAGTGTATCTATGCTCATATTTTATGTACAAAGTAACAAAGTGATCTGACATTACAGTTTCACCATTTGAGTGAATTTTTCTCTTTTCATTTTAGAAGTAGTTAGAAGGCTTATCAAAATATCACAGGAGACGGCATTTTTAAAATGTTGGAATCACCCGGTTTATAAATTGTCCAAATGTTAGTAATAAACTAACGTCTGTTCTGTGCCCCTACATCCCCGGGTTTCCCGCGTGTACGAGACAGGAACTCTGCTCCTCGGCTTCCCGTGTCTTGCCCCTCGACGCGCAGGTGCTTTCTCCTGGCACTTGCACCGGTGACGAGACTCGCACCGCGCAGGTCGTGCCTGGGACTGGCACCCACGCGGCGGAGCCTACAGAATCGGACGAAGTCACAGAAGGGAAGACGACGGGCCAAGACGTCCCACGAGCAGAGACGCCAAGTCCCCAACAAAACACTGGTAAGTTGACGCTAAAAATCTATAAAAAGAATTACACACATTACAAAGTGGCACCAATTCCAGGTGTACCAGGCCTCGCTCACCGTGGGGCGGGGCAGCGGGGACGGGAGCGGGACCGGCAGGGCCGAGACCTGTAACATCAGCCAGCTCCCCGGCCACCTGCCGCGACCCGTGGGGCCTCCGGCTGTAGCGGAAGTGCGCTCGCGCCCACCGGGCCAACTCTCGCGACCTCGTGGGACAGCGCGGGATCCGCCCGGCGAGTGCCCGCCCCTTCCTGAGGCTGGAGCGGAAGTGCGCGCGCTCCCGCCCGGCTCGCTTCCGGCCTTTGTGGGGCGCTGTGGGCTGTTCGGGCTCCCGGCGGCTTGGACCGCGTCACCTGTGGTCTCCCCGGGAGGGACCCGGCTGCCGGCCTCGGGAGCTGCAGGTGAGCGCGCTGCTGCTCTCCCCTGCCCTTCCCCGCCGGCCCGAGAAGCCGCAGGGGCGGGGGGCAGCCTTCGGGAGCGGCGTCCGCCGCCCTTTCACCTGCTGCGGGGCTGCCGGCGCCGGTTTCGTGGTTTCCGCCACACGCCTGCCCGTTAAAAGAGGCCGTCTCAGTGTTTTATTATTACTTGTTTGCTCTGAACGTTGGTTGTGTTCCATTTGGTCGTCCTTTATTCTAGGGCTAAATGGAAGTGTTGCCTTTGTGAAGTCCTTAAACCCTTAGCACCTTTTACTGAATCTTTGTCTTTAATGTGTTCTTAAGTCTTTCGTATTCAGTTTCCGTGAGTGTCGTGAATTACCCTGGGGGTGGCTTGCAAAGCGCAGAAGTAAATTGTTAGAATTTGCAGTTTTCGCTTATGGTGTAGCTTGTGTTAAAAGCGACGGCTTCTCCCTCAGGTCCACCCTTGCTGGAAGCACCGCTAGAGCTTCTGCACGGCCGCGATGGCGTCGGCCTGGGCTGCGCCGGCCCACGAGGAACAGGGTGCGCTTCTGGAAGTAAAGGTGGAGGAGGAGGAGGGGTACAGGAATACCACCAGACGGGATCAGAACCTGCAGAAGAACAACACCCACAGCAGGGAGGTCTTCCGACAGTACTTCAGACACTTCTGTTACCAGGAGACGCCTGGACCCCGCGAGGCGCTGCGCCGGCTCCGCGAGCTGTGCCGCCAGTGGCTGAGCCCAGAAACACACACCAAGGAGCAGATCCTGGAGCTGCTGGTGCTGGAGCAGTTCCTGACCATCCTGCCCGAGGAGCTCCAGGCCTGGGTGCGGGGACAGCACCCGGAGAGCGGGGACGAGGTGGTGACCGTGCTGGAGGATCTGGAACGGGAGCTGGACGAGCCTGGAGAGCAGGTGAGAAAATGAGAGATGGTTTGTGACTGAGATAAGGTAAGTTACGGATTTGTAGGCCAGAGCAAAGGACAGCATTATTCCACCAAGTCATGGAAATTTGGTTAATGTAGACCTAACTTATTTATATCTTTTTTATGGGAGGATCCTGTATTTCTGTAATGAGCTTATGGTTTCTAGTTGATGAAATGCTACTCAGAAACATTAGAAACAAGATTTATTTCATTATTTTTTTAATTTACATCCAAGTTAGCATCTAGTGCAACAATGATTTCAGGAGTAGATTCCTTAGTGCCCCTTACCCATTTAGCCCCTCCCCCCTCCCACAACCCCTCCCATAACCCTCAGTTTGTTCTCCATATTTATGAGTTTCTTCTGTTTTGTCTCCCTCCCTGTTGTTATATTATTTTTGCTTCCCTTCCCTTATATTCATCTGTTTTGTATCTTAAATTCCTCATATGAGTGAAGTCATATGATACTTGTCTTTCTGTGACTAATTTCGCTTAGCATAATACCCTCCAGTTCCATCCACGTAGTTGCAAATGTCAAGATTTCGTTCTTTTTGATTGCCGAGTGATACTCCATTGTGTGTACACACACACACACACACACACACACACACACACACACACACACACATATATATATATATATATATACCATATCTTCTTTATCCATTCATCTGTTGATGGACATCCGGGCTCTTTCCATACTTTGGCTATTGTCGATAGTGCTGCTATAAACATGGGGGTGCATGTGTCCCTTCGAAACAGCCCACCTGTATCCCTTGGGTAAATACCTAGTAGTGCAATGCTGGGTCGTAGCATTTTAATTTTTTGAGGAACCTCCATACCGTTTTCCAGAGTGGCTGCACCAGCTTGCATTCCCACCAGCAGCGCAAAAGGGTTCCTCTTTCTCCACATCCTCGCCAACATCTGTTGTTGCCTGACTAGCATTACTGTTACTGTTAGCCATTCTGACAGGCGTCAGGTGGTATCTCATTGTGGTTTTGGTTTGTAGTTCCCTGATGATGAGTGATGTTGAGCATTTTTTCACGTGTCAGGCATCTGGATGTCTTCTTTAGAAATAAGATTTCTAAGAGAAAATGTTAAGTGAGTGTAACGGGGTGCGCAGCAGTCTCTTGGAAGGGACATCGCTTCTGTTGCAGGATACAAGTAATTAAGAAATAAGGTCTTGCAGGTATATGCACTGCTCTGCATCCATTAAAGGATTAAAAGATGGAGAAATCAAGGTCACCATCTTGGAGGAATGTGAGGTCAGAGCAGAGAGGAAGGTTCAGAGATTCCTGGAGTAGTAGTTCAGAGAGGAAGGGACGAGATTCCTGGAGTAGTAGAGCCCAGTTAGGTCCGACACATGGGTAGTGGGTAGAAGGGTTGAGAACAGAGTCCAGGACCTTGAGTATCACCTGTGGAGTGTAGAGTCTGTTCTGTAGGACACAAGCTTCTAACCTTTTCTCTTTAAGTGAGCTTCTCTAACGCCAGGATCTAACCAAATTATGTAGAATTCTGTTCTGTTTTGTTCCAACATTGATAAAAGACAGCGGTTCTCAACCAGTGGCAATTTTCTGCCCTAAAGGGCATCTGGTGATGTCTTGGCACATTTTTGGTTGTCATAGTGGCGGGAGGTGCTACTGGCATCGAGCGGCTAAAGGGTAAGGATGTTTTGGAATATCTTATAACGTATAGGATGGCGTCTTATAACAAGGATTTTTCTGACCCAACGTGTCAATAGAATCAAGACTCAGAAGTCTTGGTATGAAGAGTATAAAACAGGGAAGTAATAAAACAAGAAGTGCAACTCAGCATTGGCAAGGGGGAGGAACATGTGGCAGAGTTTGAAGATCTGAGTTTGAAGTAGAGTCAAGATAGTGAGGCTATGAAGGATGAGGCATGTCTTAGGTAAGTATTGGAAACGATGATAGATTAGATGGATAAAAAAGGGAAAACTCTCTACGGAGCAATCTATTCTAGGCTAAGCGCGGGGAATTTCAAGCTTGAGAGACTAGTGTAATTGAGGTGCTCCTAACAGAGTTCAAGGCTATCGGGGCTGGTGGATTGGGGGAAAGTTCATTCGTTCAGAAGACGTTTATTGAACGTTTAATACGCACCAGGCACCATTCTAGGCACTGGAAACACAGCAGTGCACAAAACACAGAAGTTGCCTCTGTCTTGTAAACAGATTGTAGTCTAATGAGAGTAGTAACCAGGTGGTGCCAGGTGGAGATAAATCCTATATGAAAACAGCAATGAAGCGGAAAAAAGGTAAACAGTGAATGAAGCGGAGACTGTGTGATTTTTGACAGACTGGTGAGGGAAGGCCTTCCAGATGGGGTGACATTTAGAGCAGAGGTCAGGCTGTGCAGTCACCTAGGCTGAGGACATTCAGCCAGAGGAAATAGTGGGCAGGTGAGAATGTGCTTATCGTGGTAGAGATGCAGGAGATGAAATGAGGTAGTTAGAACGAGATCAAATCATGGGGGCACTTACAGGCCATTGTAAGGACTTTGGATCTTATCCTGAGATGGAAAGTCATTGGAGGGTTTTGAACAGAAGAGAGGTTTAATCTGACCTAAATGTTATTTATTTATTTTTATTTTTTAATGTTTGTTTATTTTTGAGAGAAAGAGCATGAGGAGGATGAGGGACAGAATCCGAAGCAGGCTCCAGGCTCCCAGCTGTCAGCACAGAGCCCGACGCGGGGCTCGAACCCACGAACCGTGAGATTATGACCCTGAGCCGAAGTCGGACGCTTAACCGACTGAGCCACCCAGGCGCCCTATGACCTAAATTTTAAAAATAATCACTCCAGCCGCTCTGTTGGAAGAGTCCTAGATTAGGGTTCGTGGTGGGAGTGCAGGAGGCCCAGGGTCAAAGGTCGAAGCAGGGAAGCCCAGTCAACACTAATCCAGGCAGGAGGTACCAGTGGCTTGAACTGTGACAGTAGCAGTGGAAGCAGCGAGATGCAGTTGGATCTTGAGGGGATTTGTTTGAACATCGCATCGTGTCACATGGGTTTGTCATTCAAGGAGATGATAAAGGCAGGGAAAGAAGAAGGTTTGGAGTAGGGGTGGGAATCTAGAGTTACTAGGTTTTGGACGTGTTGAATTGTAGATTCCTCTTAGAACCCAATTGGAAAAGTTGGGCAAGCAACTCCACTCAGCAGAGGGATGTGTGCTGGAAATAACAAAATTGGAGCTTGTCATAATATGAGTGATATTTAAAGCTGTGGGATAGGGGCGCCTGGGTGGCGCAGTCGGTTAAGCGTCCGACTTCAGCCAGGTCACGATCTCGCGGTCCGGGAGTTCGAGCCCCGCGTCAGGCTCTGGGCTGATGGCTCAGAGCCTGGAGCCTGTTTCCGATTCTGTGTCTCCCTCTCTCTCTGCCCCTCCCCCGTTCATGCTCTGTCTCTCTCTGTCCCAAAAATAAATAAACGTTGAAAAAAAAAATTAAAAAAAAAAATAATAAAGCTGTGGGACAAAAGGATCGACAGGACGGTGGAAACTGAGAGGGAGTGGCCAGGGAGATGGGAAGAGAACCAGAAGAAAGAATGGCACTCCCAAGTGCGGGCAGAAGTAATTTGGTTTTAAACATGTTGTCTTTGTACTGCCCTTTCCCTCAAAGCATGCTGGGGGTGGCTGATGGAATTTCATCCTGATGTCTGAGGCCTCACCAGAGATCCAGGGACGGAAGGAAGGCACAGCTCACTGTACCGGCCTTTTTCTCCTTCCAAACTGAGGTCTGAAAACCTTTTTCTGTCTGCCTCTGAGAGCATCCTACTGACTTTGGCTCTTACTCTGGGGTCAGAAATTACAGAACGAAGCTGTGTTGGAAGTAGAGGCAGCGTGTGGTGATTTCTTACTCCCAGAATGTAGCTGTTGCAGGATTGGGGGGTAACTTGAGGGTCTGTTGTATGCCAGTGCCCCCGCAATGTGCCTCATGCACAGTCTGAGTTATGCACGATCTGAGAAACCACCCAGGGACATGGAGCTCCTGAACTAAGAAGCAACAAAGTGTGGCCCCCGGATCGCTGCCTTTCATACCACGCTGGGGAAATACGATTTATTTTTAAATACAAGAGGGAGTGATTCCGTGGAGGAGTGGAAGCCAGAGTGAGTGAGTTTAGGGAGCAGAGGTCAGAGGTGCAGGAAGGGATGGGGTTGAAGGCAAGAGTTGAGGTTACAAGGTACGGGCCTTGATGAAGTAAAGGCCTCTTCCTCTAAGTGGAAGGGAGTAAGTGTGTGGGGGGTGATGAAGAAAAGAGTGGGTGATCTCTGATGTGGCCATGACCTTGGACAAGGAGAGAACAAGGTCATCTCCTGGAAGGAAGTGGGGGAGGAGCCTCAGAAGAGCAGAGACTGTAGGGAACAGCTTCCTCCTCCCATCCCCTGTCTTTCCTCCCTCTTTCTCCTTTGTTCCCTCTGCCTTTTTGCCTCGTTTCTCCATCATTTCTCTTCACTTACCCCATCCTTTTTTTCATTTTCTCTTCTGTTAATTTCCCCCAAGTTCTTTTCTTGTGCTTGTTGCTTCCCTTTACCTTCTCTTCCTTCTCTCCTTCCTATTTTCTTCCTCTCGCATCTCCACTTTGAGCATAAGACAAAGACGTGACGGTGGCACAGCCAGCATTTTTTAGCGGTTCAGAACAGAAGGGTGGGGTTCCTGGAGGAGGTGGCTTGTATACAGGCCTTGAAGAATGAGGTGCCTTACAGCAGGCTGATGTCTGGAAAGAAGGGCAGGTGCCGGAGAGCCGGGTGTCACTGCCTCGGACCGGATCCTATACCGTTGTTTCCTGTTGGCAGGATGAATGTGTCCACCGTGTCCCTGTCCACACTGAGCAACAGGACACGCTCTTGCAGGAGACAGCCCTTGTGGGAACAGGACGGGAACCTGGCATGTCCCTGCCATCCGGGGTTGCCCGGCTGAAGTATGAATCTCCAGGACCTGGAGCCCAGCCGGAGGAGCAAGGTAAGGAAGACGGAGCAGCTTGGGAGGAAGGGAAGACAGGCAGGCACAGGACCTGGGGCCTCTTTAGTTCCGTGTACCGTTTCTCCTCGTCACAGTCAGGACGACCTCTCGTGCACGGACTCTCAGCTGGTTCGGTTTGTCACGCTTCAACTCTCTCTTTCTCTTCATGTTAATATTTTGTTCTCCACTCCTGCAGTATTTTATGAGATCACTTAATTGAGTCCTTCTGATAGTTACTTTCCTTCATACTGACTTCCTTGCTATTTCTGGCCTTTATCCTGTCAGATGGTGCTACTGTCCTCCTGCCTTCAGTAACCAGGTTTTGGCCCAGGATGTCTGCAGTTTTCAGATGATTCAGGAGAAAGCATATATATGTGTACTCTTAGGAAAAGGAGGAACAACAGAGCAAATGTGGCGGAATGTTAAGTTGGTGAATGTGCGAAAGACCCCATATTTCTTATCTCTGTGTTCTCTACATTTAATTTTTAAAAATAGGTAAAAATTCATATAGTTCAAAGATAAAAACTTAAAGTTACCCAGTGACAAGTTTTTCTTCCACTCATTCCCTCGGTCATCTGGTCTTCTCCCTGCCCTGAGATGAGTTGTCACTGTTCTGTTTCTTGTATGTGCTTCCCTAGAGAGGTTTTTATATGTATACATTTTTCCACATTCAAGCAAATACATCTTCTTCTCTTTATTACTAAGATGGTAAAGGTTTGCGTTTTAAAAAAAATTTTTTATTTTATTTTACTTATTTATTTATTTATTTTAATGTTTATTTTTTGAGACAATGCGAGAGACAGAGTGCAAGCAGCAGAGGGGCAGACAGAGGGAGACACAGAATCTGAAGCGGGCTCCAGGCTCTGAGCTGTCAGCACAGAGCCCGACATGGGGCTCAAACTCAACGGACAGTGAGATTCTGACCTGAGCCGAAGTCGGATGCTTAACCAACTAAGCCGACTAAGCCACCCAGGCGCCCCTAAAAAAAATTTTAAATAGAGCATGCATGCACGCACATGAGTGGGGGAAGGGCAGCAGGGGAGAGAGTCCCAAGCAGGCTCTACACTCAGAGCAAAGCCCGACTCTGGACTCTATCTTACAACCGTGAGATCATGACCTGAGCCGAAATCAAGAGTCAGACGGACGCCACCCAGGCGCCCCATATTTTTTATTTCCTAACAGCACCTTAATATTAAAATGTATGGATGGGGGTGCCTGGGTGGCTTAGTCAGTTGAACATCCGACTTCGGCTCAGGTCGTGATCTTACGGTTTGTGGGTTCGAGCCCTGCGTCAGGCTCTGTGCTGACAGCTTGCTCAGAGCCTGCAGCCTTCTTCAGATTCTGTGTCTCCTCTCTTTCTCTCTGCCCCTCCCCGGCTCATGCTCTGTCTCTCTCTCTCAAAAATAAATGTTAAAAAAAATTTTAATGTATGGATGAACCACACAATTAACTTGTCCATTCCCCAGTTGTCCCCATTGATTTGCTCTAACAGGTAGTGCTGTGGTGAGTGTGTGTGAGTACTTCAGTATAAATTCCCATGTGTGGAATTACTAGCCCCAAGATTAAATACAGTTGTCATTTTGATGGATATTGGCAATTTGGTCTGTATGAAGCCCGGGTCAGTTTACACTCCCACTGGCGATGTGTGATACCCATTTCATGAACAGTGTTCTACTGATGGACGGAGGTGATGGGTGCAAATTGTACCTCAGTACTCAAGTTTGCTTTTCCCTTATTTTGAGGTGGGCATCTTTAAGAGCTGTTGTATTTCCTTTCCTGGAAACAACTTTTCCTTTGCCCAGTTTTTATTGGATTATTGGTCTTTTCCATAACAATTTTTGGAGCGTTTTATGTATTAGGTCTGTTCTATGTTTTTTTGTTTTGTTTTGTTTTAATTTTTTTTTTCCAACGTTTATTTATTTGTGGGACAGAGAGAGACAGAGCATGAACGGGGGAGGGGCAGAGAGAGAGGGAGACACAGAATCGGAAACAGGCTGCAGGCTCCGAGCCATCAGCCCAGAGCCCGACGCGGGGCTCGAACTCACGGACCGCGAGATCGTGACCTGGCTGAAGTCGGACGCTTAACCGACTGCGCCACCCAGGCGCCCCTGTTCTATGTTTTAATACCATTGTACAGTCCTGCAGAAACTCTGGGTTCTTAATATGTTTTTCACCTGAATAATGAGTGTCTGATGAGGTGAGCATGTTGTCTAATGAGGTGGAAACTAGTAACTGTGATCCATTGCAGTTTCAGGTGTTGAGACTGGAAATAAGTACAGGAATTTAACTCTAAAGCAAGAAGCGGCACCGCAGGGGAATATGTGTAGCGGATTTGAAAGTGACATGTCCCAGTCGGCTAGGTGCAGAGAAGCGGACGGATCCGAAGCAGAAACAGAAGAGTCTTCTGGACACTCCAGGGAAGGTGAACAGTCTGCGGGTGATGAGAACAGACTCCGTCTGACTGAACAGCAGAGGGTCTGTCCAGGAGAAAAACGTCATGAGTGCGAGGAGTGTGGAAAAGCCTTCAGTCAGCACTCGAACCTCTTAGAACATCAGAGGGTCCACACTGGAGACAGGCCCTACAAATGTGAGGAATGTGGGAAAACTTTCCGTGGGAGAACCGTGCTGATTCGGCACAAAATAATACACACCGGAGAGAAACCGTATAAATGTAATGAGTGTGGCAAAGCCTTTGGCCGCTGGTCAGCTCTTAACCAACATCAGAGGCTCCACACAGGAGAGAAACACTACCACTGTAACGAATGCGGCAAAGCCTTTAGCCAGAAAGCGGGCCTCTTTCACCACCTCAAGATCCACACGAGAGACAAACCATACCATTGTGCTCAGTGCAATAAAAGTTTTAGTCGGCGTTCAATACTCACTCAACACCAAGGAGTTCACACTGGGGCAAAGCCCTATGAGTGCAGCGAGTGCGGGAAAGCCTTCGTTTATAACTCCTCCCTGGTTTCCCACCAGGAGATCCACCACAAAGAAAAGTGCCATCAGTGTAAGGAGTGTGGGAAATCCTTCAGTCACAGTGGCCTTGTTCAGCATCAGAGAATCCACACTGGGGAGAAACCTTACAAGTGTGACGTATGTGCAAAAACATTTATTCAGAGGACAAGCCTAGTAGAACATCAGCGAGTTCACACTGGAGAGAGACCTTACAAGTGTGATAAGTGTGAGAAGGCCTTCACTCAGAGATCAGTTCTCACGGAACACCAGAGAACCCACACCGGAGAGAGGCCGTACAAGTGTGACGACTGTGGGAACGCCTTCCGAGGCATCACCAGCCTCATTCAGCATCACAGGATCCACACTGGGGAGAAACCCTACCGATGTGACCAGTGCGGCAAAGCCTTCAGACAGAGGTCAGATCTTAGCAAACACCAGAGAATCCATAGTAGAGGTGCTCCCTCTAATGAGTGTGGGGAGTCATTCAGGCAGCCCTCAGCTCGTAGGCAGCAGCGGACTGTCCACGAAGGGGAGGAGTCTGTTTCTGGGATGACCACGGGGACGCTGTGTCCCAGAGTACAGGCTGGAGAGGAATACTAGCTTGGGAGTGATTCCAACGGCAGTCACCGTTGCTACAAGGACACCTCAGACGTCTTGTAAAGGGTTCGCCGTGTGCCGTGCGTGACATCAGCTGGTGTGTAGGACAGAGAGCGAAACACGAAAGTCCTCTTCTCGCCAGTTTACGGTGGAGCCTGGGGTCCGTCAGGTCACGTGTGAGCTTAGATCGGACTGCAGGACGGCAGAAGTGATCTGAGCCGCGTGTCCGTGAGGTGGCGGGTGGCGGCCAGTGCTGTCCGTTCTGAAGGACGGATCACCAATGCCTGAGCGGGTCAGCCAAGATTGTATTGAAGATCGGGGTTCCGTGGGCAGATTTGGAAGGCGGGGTGGAAACCAGGGTAAAGCCCACGTAGGGGGAGGCGAGGACGCTCGGGGCTTGTGGCGCCAGTGGCAGCCTGAGGTGGGGCATCTGTTCAGGTGGGCGGTGGCGGAGATACCCTGGGAACGGCTTGGGCCGGGCTGGGAGGGCGCGGACGGTGCCTCTTACAAAAGGCACAAAGCACTTTTCTTAATTCCTAAGATCTGCCTGTAAATTAAAATCCTTCTCTGTTTTAAAAGTGAGGGTACGCCTGCTTCTGGAGAGGGTGACCTAGCTACAGTGTCACAGGGAGGGGCCAGCAGTAGGTCTCTGACTTGTCCTGTCCCTTGCTCTCGTGGTTCTCCCCTTCAGTGCACGTCAGAGTCCCCTGTGGAGTTTGGTTAAGATGCCTGCGACCCCCTCACATCCTGCTTCGTGAAGTCTGGGGCGGGGGCCGAGAATCCTCATTGTCCAAGCTCCACAGTCACCTGATTCTAAAATTCGAGGAACACTGCATTGAGTCGCAGCCGCCTTCATGGTCGCCTGTGAGGTGGGGAAGCGTCAACACGGGCCACTAAACACAGGCCACTGCAGATTCTTAGCTTGGGGAAAGCTCTGAAGGACAGGAGTGAACAGGGAAATTAGACAGCCATCCAGCATCAGGGGCTTCGGGATGGCCTTTCCACCTCTTCCAACTGAAGTCTTAGGAAATCGGAGACTGACCTACGTTGTGAGGCACCCAGGGGTCACCAGAGCACAAGGCTGTGTGTTAGGGGAGAGTGCTGGTGTTCTGGTTTGCTCCTAACCTCTGTTTTTTCCCAGCTTATGTTCTGAATTCCCTAATAGTTGCTCTTCAAAACTGGTTTACAGTTTTTTGGTTTGTATACCTTCTTGAGCACATAAAAGAGCCAAAGATTAGTGACTCTATCCCTTGAGGCTTGTGCAAAAACATCAACCAAAAGCTAGTTGACCGGCCTCCCGTATCACTGAGAAAGCAGTTCTGTTGTAGATGAGGGCCTGTGACTCCGTCGTGGACAACAGGCACGCACACGTGGCTCCTGCTCAGTTTATCTTTTCTTTTTTTTCTTTTAATGCTTATTTATTTGGAGAGGGAGTGAGAGAGAGGACTCTGCACTGACAGTGCAGAGCCCGAGGAGGGGCTTGAATCCACAGCCCTGGGATCATGACCTGAGCTGAAATCCAGAGTCAGATGCTTAACTGACTGAGTCACCCAGGCACCCGGTTTATCTTTTTATTTACAGAGATTATTTTTAATCTTCATTGACATGTCCTCTGATACCCTTCCCTTTGTACCTCACCGCAACAGGCCCTACAACTTCTGGGACTGCTCCCACCCCCCCTCTCCCAGATCGTCCCACACAACTCCGGGATCCTCTTCTCCCCACACCTCTAGCTCCTTAGTGGGCCTGAAGTGGTGAGACACACAAGGGACAGGGGGGGAACGAGGGTAGTTGGCGTCTTTACTCCTAACTGCCGCTCTGTATGTACTCTGCCCCCCTTCCCGACGGCCCCCATCTCTTGCCCCTGTGTCCATCACCCTATCCCGAACATAGTATCATCACTGGCTGGAACCAGAAGTCCCTGGAGAAATTGATACGTTCTAGCTTCTAAGCTTTACGTGTGAGCACATTTTCATAATAATAATAGTACTATAATTTAGGTACACTGTGTGTCAGATTTGCTTTTGGGATTGCAATTTCTGTGACTAAGGGAAAACATCCTGAGTTCACAATAGAGGAAAGCAAATGAACGTTTGAAAAACAGCTGACTCTCAAGTTGAGGACCCTTGAGGTGTTATATCCTAAGACCAACATTGGAGCTGCACACAGAAGGCGTCGAGGCAGCTGGGATTGGGTACGTCCTTTTTTACCTCCAGAAAACTGAGTTTGTTTCCCTGAGTGAGGCTGGGGGCGCTCAGCCGGGTGTGTTCTGTTCTCTTCCCAGCTTCCCCTGCCATGCGTCTCTCACTCTTGCAAGCTCTTTGATGGAGGGGACGTCGCTTAGAGATGAGAACCCAAATGAGAATGTCCTTCAGATGCTGTCCATGCTTGTCACCTTGCCTGATTTCAGACATGTTATCCGGACTGAAGTTACTCTTCATAGTAACCTCAAACCTCTAACTTACTGCTCACTGGAACACGACTCTTAATTTAAACTTGCTGTTATCTGTGGGTTCCGCCCTTCATCTGCTGTTAAACATATCCGCTCAGGGCAGACATGTTCCTCCATTTGCCTCTAACACCTTTATTTGCTTAATATGAATGAACCCTAGACAAAGATCCAGAATAGTGGGATATACCTATCATATAGGATACAGTTCATAACTTGGTTAAAAATAAAGCAGGAGGTTTTGTTCTGGTTGTTTCTTATGCTTGGTAGTTGCACTACCAAGAAAAGGTGAGTGACCTGGCATTTCCAGGTAGACATCAAAGGGGCTCAAACTATCCAGGATAAGAAAATAGAGTAGAATAATTGGAGCTAAATGGGCAACACAAGAGTAGAAGACCCTGAGGGGCAAGTGGAGGATGTGACCGAGGTTAGACATGGAATTGGGGAGTGCAGTGCACAGAGAATGCCTCACAGTGAAGTCCACAGTACGTCGTTCTGAATAAAAGGTAGATGTATGAAAACAAATTTTTTAAAAATAAAAAATAAAAAAAGGGGCGCCTGGGTGGCGCAGTTGGTTAAGCGTCCGACTTCAGCCAGGTCACGCTCTCGCGGTCCGTGGGTTCGAGCCCCGCGTCGGGCTCTGGGCTGATGGCTCAGAGCCTGGAGCCTGTTTCCGATTCTGTGTCTCCCTCTCTCTCTGCCCCTCCCCCGTTCATGCTGTGTCTCTCTCTGTCCCAAAAATAAAATAAACGTTGAAAAAAAATAAAAAAAAAAAGGTAGATGTAGAACAGTGACAGGCTCTAGGCTCGTTTGAATAGCTTATCTTCGCAGATTTTGAAACCATCAACAACAGGTGGCAGGATGGAAAGGAAAAAGGACACTGAAGCAAGTCCAAGGTAGAAATGTCAGTCCAGAGTAGTGACATAACAGCCAGCTTGAGCAATTGGTGCAACACTCAAATGATGAATCGCGAAGCGGTGGCTTGGGAATAACATTAAGGATAAGAGTGAGATTGACTGGCTTCTCTTTTCTGGTTGATTCAAGGTAAGCAAGATACTCAGTGTTTAAGACAAAAAGCTCCTGTAGGGTTTTGGGGAGAATCAAATTGCTAAAGCAGTGAAAAGTGAAGGAGGCTCAGGATGAAAAGTAACATGACAAACAGGAGCTCCAGGGGGTGTAATAGGGGCTGCAAACGGAAGAAAGATGGGCCTCCTCCAAAAGAAACCTCAGTTGTAGGAACAGGCTCCTGGAATTTTAGGTATGAGATAAAGCTAAAGCAGAAAAAGTGGGACTGAGCAGGGCTCCAGATTGAGAAATGTCCGCTGTGTGTTGAGGGCAGAGGTGGAGAGCACGAAGGTACCAGAACGTGGAGCAGCTCCACTCCCGTACCCTGAATGGAAGTAGCCTCTTGTTACATCCCATAGATGATCTGTTCCAGAACTCTTACAGTCAGAGTCCTTATTGGCCATCTTTTGGAGTCAAGAAAAGGATTTGTTAGTAACATGTAACATTAACAGCTTATTAAGGGCCAGGCGTTACTAAAGTGCTTTACACGGTTTTATTTTTAGCTGTGAATTGGAGGAGTTGAAGCTGCCTCAGGTCACAAAGTTGGAATGTGGTGGGGCCAAGATTTGAAGGCCAGTGGCCCAGTTCCAGAGCCCATCCTTCCTTGTCTAGTTCAGTTGAAGGAACCCTGTTTTGCAGTCATAATCAAGTAATTATCTGGAAAATCTGTCACTATTCTGGAAGATACTTCAGAAACCCCAGAGTCCTGGGTCCAAACACCCAAGGCTAATAATACCGCCACCACCCTCTCTGCATACCAACTCTTGGATAAGGTTTGGTCAGCATAACATGAACCCTAATTCTTGTTGCCTCACAAGGAGGGTGCCCACAGGAGACATTTCCGCTAAAAATGGGCTCTTTAGATAAAGGGATCCCCCTCCTGGCTTAGAGCTGAAATTCACTCTGACAGAATAGGAGATTTTTGGCAGTCTCCATTGGTGCACATCATAAAGCTATCCCGTTTTGGATCTACCCAGTAGCCCAAATGGATCTCTTCTATGTAGCTAATACCACTTCTAAGATGAAAGAAACCATCATTATTATATAAAGTAGTTCTTTCAGGTGCCTGTCCTGTCCCCACAGCCCAGACTTTGAGCAGCAAGTGCTTGTTCAACTTGGTGATAATCCTGTGATAACCTTTATTTTCAACGTCCATCCTTTCGCACTGAAAAGTTCTGTCACAGCTGCTCTAGCAGTTCCTTTTATTGGCATTTCTGTAGATCCTGCCATTCCAAATACTGGGTATAATTGGTAAGGAGCCTTTGCACATTTTTTACACACGTATTTCTGTAAATATAGGGAGAGTATATACGTATGAATATATTTTATAAAAATGTGTGTTGTGTATGTTTTATACATACAATAAGATTTTGACAAAGCCAACCGTGAGGAGTATTTTCAGCTTCTCAGTTGATCAGCTCCTTAGCTCACATAAGACCACCGTTGAAAGCCAGGAGTTTTCCCTTGATTTCATGGAAACCATTGATTCTCACCCATGGGTCTGAACGCCCATCAGCCCATCAGTCAAGGCTCGTCTCCCTCCCGTCTCAGTTGAAGGTGGTCTTTGGGTAGGTCTTTAGCCTAAAAGGCCTGGTCCTGGATGTCCCAAGGGCTTTCTAAGTGAAGGTTACTAGTAACCAGTAACCTAACTGTACTAGTTAGGTAACTGTAATAGAAGGTAACTAGTACCTAGCAACAACCAAGGGTTAGGTGTTTATTGGTTCCTCTCTGAGCCTGATACGCATATTTTACTTTTTGAGCTAGTGCTTCGGTGTGCCTACTTCACTGAGATACTTAGGAGCAGGTGTGTCATCATTTCATACCCGCTAAAAGTGGCAGCTTACAGTTTACTGTAAATTCCAGCTGAGTGAGTTTGGGCAAGCGGTTTACTAGCCTTGTGTCTCACTTTCCCCTTGGGGAACATGGCAATAGTCCCACCATCTCCTGGGGCAGCTAGGTGGGCTGAGTGGGTTACACGCGAAGCACTTGGACGGCGCTTAGCGCCTCTGAGGTGCTGTACGGCCGTTTGCGGTGATCGGTCACCGGGAGCGCCCGCCGCAGAGGTCACCTGTCCCCGCGCGCAGTTCCCCCAGGACTGGTGCCAGGTGCGCCACCCAGTCCCGCAGTCGCCGTCCTCCGTGGGGACAGGCCTCCCCGAGCGGCAGGGGGAGTCCTCCCCCTGGTTACCGGAGATGACGCAGCCCAGGTTCGCGCCCTTTGTCTTCGGGGGGTGGGGGAAGGCGGCTCTGGCTCGGTCGTGCGGCGGGAGGTGGGCCCCGACGGGATGCTCTGCGGGGCGGGGACTCGGCCAGGCAACCACCGAGAGGAGAAGGCCTCCAGATTCCTAGAGGAGACCGGTGGCGCCGCGGCTGGGGCCCGCAGCTGACCGGGAAGCGCGCGCTCCGCCGGCCTCGGCGCGCACCTGTATCGGGAGAGGGCGGGTTGGTACCCCTGCGCGCGCCAGGCTGGCGCTGCCTCTGACCCGGCATCTGGGACTGCGGGGGCGGGGGGCGGGGGGAGCCCGGGGGCCCGGGGCGGGGCAGGTGCGCGACGAGGCCGGCGGAGCGCGCGCTTCCCGGTCAGCTGCGGGCCCCC